GTTTACTAGACTGGCAAATCAGGGGAATATCATGGGAACAGTTCACCTAGATGCTAGTGCAGCATCTGACCAAATTTTCACGCTCTTCTTATGGAAAAGATGGCTAGACAATAATACTGCTCAGTGGATTGGGAACCGATTGCTTAGTAAATCTCTAAGAGTAGCAGTAATGTTTCAAAGTCAACTTGAAAGAAAGTCTCTAATATATTGCCCCAGAAATCTGTGCTTGGCCTTATGCTTATTCTGAGTTAACATTTTTCATTAGTGACACAGATGGTACAATTATCACTTAGGTTCAAAACAGCAATTTTATAAGCATAACATAAGCTTTGGAAACACAGATAGACAACAGTGCTTTCTGAAAATCATCTGGGGTGCATCTCCTTGCCTTCATTGGAGTAGAAGGCTAAGATGTAGAATATATTCAGTTGATGTGTTTTAATTTTACTGAACTGGTTTTTTTCCTTTTTTTTTTTTTTTTTTGGTTAAAAAGGATGGCTCATTGAGTAGAAGGTGAAGGATATATTTGAAAATGAAAGCAATATGGAAACAAAAGACATCAATAATTTTTTTTTAACGATCTAGGGTTTTTGGTGGTTTGAAAGTTCAATATCAAAAGTATACAACAATAGCTAAGAAAGCTAATCTGATTTTAGGCTTCAATCAAATGTCATAGTATCCAGAAGTTGAGAGGTGACAATTCTGCCGAATTTTGACCTGATTAGACCACAATCTGGAGTACTGTGTTTAATTTTGGGCACCATATTAAAAACAAACACATTGATACGATGTAGGACATCAGTTCTCCAAGTATAATCTGGTTTTCAAAGTATAAGGGTCCCCAAGACCTTTTCAGAGAATCTATGGGGTAAAAACTATGTTCATAACAATACTAAGACATTATTTGCCTATTAAAATGTCCCTCCTTTTTTGAAGGATACATCTGAAGCTGGATTTTCTTCACATATTTACAACAAAACAACACAACACAACAGATTAAATGAAAAAAGCAGATATGAGAATCCAAAAGTTTTCTATTAGGAAGCTATGTAATACAGTGCACAGAATGCTGGAGATGGAGCCAGGAAGACCTGAGTTCAAATCCAGATTCAGACACTTGTATGACTCTGTATGACAATTGTATGACTCTGGGCCAGTCACTTAAATCTGTCTCAACTTCTTCATCTGTAAAACGGGGATAATAATAGACCTGCTTTTCAGTATTGTTGTGAGGATCAAATGAGATAACATAATAAATGCTATATTATAATTCTATTAAGCCAGATATTAAAGAGATTTGCAAAAAAAATGTAAAACAATTAAAATTTTCTAGTTAAATTAGTTTTGGAAAAGTTATTGTTCATAAAAACAGATTATTTATGTTAACATGAAATGATTTTTTTGTTATTTAAAATTAATAAATAGCTAGTTTTAATTTCTAGACAGTAATTAATACAACCCATAATATAAACAAATGTTCTTTGGGGGTCCTCAATTTTTAAGAGTGCAAAAGGGTAAGTCTGAGAATCATTGTACCATATCCAGGGGACGGTGACCAGACAAGAAGTATGATGACTAACTGGTCTTATATATTTGAAGAGAAGTGGAATATTTGAAATTTGTTCAGCTTGGCCCCAGAATGCAATAGTACAACTAAGAGAGACAGATAGAGGTTACAGAGACAAATTTAAGCTGATAAAAGTAAAAACTTCCTAACAGTCAGAACTATCTAAGAATGGAATAGGTTGCCTCGGGCATCAGTGAAATACAATTATTGTAGAAATGTGACCTGACAAGAGCTTCTGTGAGTACTAGAATTTCTGCCTCCTGAGCAGCCACAAATACGAAAGATTTGGAAAATCTTGCCACCAAAGTCCTTAGCACTGTCAAGTTCAACATCAGAAAAGGATATGATTGGGGGCAGTTAGGTGGTGCAGTGGAAAGAGCACTGGCTCTGGACTCAGGAGGACCCGAGTTCAAATCCGGCCTGAGACACATAACACTTACTAGCTGTGTGACCCTGGGCAAATCACTTAACCCCATTGCCTAACCCAAAAGAAAAAGAAAAGGATACGATTATCAATAAAAATGTCATTAAAGAAAATTCATTGACATTTGTTTGGCCAGTGCACCATGAGGACAAGGTCCTTCCATCTGAACTGTAGCTGAAACTTCTCTATAATCTCCTTCCCATTAGAATGTGAGCTCCTTCAGAGCAGAAAGCAGCCTTTTCTAGTTGTATTCCCAGCATTTTGCCTGTAGAAAACACTTATTAAATACTTTTTCACTCATTCATAGTAGATTCCTCCTCATCAGAGCCTTCAGCTAAAGATTGGAAGCCTATGTCGAAAGGATTTTGTTGAAGAGGTTCTTTTTCAAGCACAGTTTGAACAAAATAGTCTTTAAGATCCCTTCCAACTTTGAGACTGTGATTTTGTCCTTAGAAGACTTATTAACTTGGTTTCACATAATTTCTACCTCAGCTTTCCACACTATCATCATAGTTGGTAATTTTCAGGTACTGACTTGAGATACTAAAGATTATACTATTAATTATGGGCCAATTCATTTAGTTGCTCCACAGTAGAATGAAGGAAAAAACTAAAAAATCTCAGGTCAACTTTTAACTAGTTTTGATAATATGGAACAAAGCCATCAGAAATATAACCCGAACTGGTGGCCTCAATGATCACAGGAGCCTCTTATACAAAAGAAGCTTTAATCTCAATGACAGAAGAAAGTCACTTTCTGCCTCACCAGTAAGCCAAAAGGATTTTATTTAATTAAGGGCATTCTAATAAACACCATACTGAAATATTCAAGTACTCAATTTCCTGGATTGGGTTTAGAAATGGATAAAAAAAAAAAGACAATATTCTCTACTAAACCTACAATCTGTAAATATATTTGTTTCTGGTATGAATTAAAGCAAGAGCCTAATAAAACATTCATAGTTTTTTCCCATGTCTGTTCAGCACAGTGTATATTTCTTAATTTCCTTCCTCTCCTATTGCTGGGGTTTTGTTTTTTTATTTTTTCAAAGTTACAAGGAGATAAGTAAAAATGTTTTATTTTCCCTTAACAAAGGGCACTAGATTCACAGGTCACTATTTTGAAAGCCTAGACAGCAACAAAAACAATCAAAATTTATAAAAAATACAAAGAGGCTTAGTGGATAAAAGTTCCAGGTTAAGAGTTAAGAGACATGAGCCATAAACTTTTGGCCCCAGCAATGATTCACAAAGTGACCTTGTACAAGTTCCTTCCTCTCTCAGGTTCTCTTGATGCTGCTAAAATTAATGCGATAGTGTTAGTAAAGTCCTTTAAGCTCTCTGGAGGTAAGTACTTAGAATAGAAAGTGCCAATGCTCTTCTATTACAGGAATAGGGGGCCTTCATTCTGAGTAGAAAACAAAGAACACTGACGTAACACAAGACAGCTTAGTCTGTATATTCAATTTAAAATGCCTGCTGTGATTTAGGAACCACATAAAAATAATAGTTTTATTCCATTAGCAGCAAGTATACTGCCCTCTAAGAATAAAAATTCTGTGGGAAGTACACATAGGTGTATATGCAGTGCTTCCCTACCAAAGAATCAGTACTTCATTACTTAAGTTAATCTACAAACATTCTGGGAAACAAAAATGCCTAATAAGCTGGCTATGATAATCCCTGTATATGTTTATTTCAAAGCAGATGGAATCAATCAACAAGTACTTATTAAGTGTGAATAATATTCAACACCAAGCAAAGAAAGTCAACCAGTATTCGGAGTATTTTACTTAACAAAACATCAGAAGTATAAGTTACCAATTACAGAGACCTAGAATACCACTGTACAACCAAATTCTTCAAGAAAAAAATCTCACTCACATTTATTATTTTATCAAGCTAACAATAATTTTTTTCATCTTATGTTCTTAAATCTAGAGAGCTGTAGAATGAAGGCCAAATTTTGAGCGCGTGAAATTTAACATGATTTTATAAGAACAATATTCATAAGAAACCCAGTAAAGCAGTTCTTCCAGATTTTAGTTTAGGCATTTTAAAAGTTTTCTGGGTAGCCTTTGTTATGAGAAACAAATCCCAAGGCCAGTAAAAATGGATTGGGGCCCAAAATGTAACCAAAACACGGTTTCACGAGGTCCAAAGAGGAGGGGTTGATAAAATACTTATCCTGGTCACCAAATGGCCAGATCTCTGCCAAGCCGACTAATGGCTGCCACTTCAGATACATATATTTAGTTACTTCTGGAAGAAGTATTTGTATTTTAAGCCTTATCCCTAACTATAGAAATAAAAATTTATCCCTGTTACTGGAATTTCAAGAATCAGCAAACAAATGTAGGAAACTATGGGGAGGCTGATGCACTTTTTCCGCATCCCTAGCATCATAAACAAATGTCAGAACAGTGAGGCACAAAGTGAAAAGAGGGCCCAAACAAGGATTTCTTCAGAACTCCGAGGAAAACTAATCATAAGGGAGACGCGGTACTGGAGTCTAGCACTGATGATGTTCAACAATCATAATGTCCTACTTTATTTAGTACAAGTGTGAGTTGATTTCGATTTTCGGAGCTTGAAATCTCATCAATTTGCTGCTAATTCACACTGGAAGGAAATTCTCATTCTGACTCCTAAATTTTTTCCATAAAAAGAGAAAGCTACAGTACTGCTGTGTCAGAATGATTATGATTGTATTGAAGACTTAACAATGTCATGAATGTTTCTAGCACAAAAAAGAAACCTTATTTCACTAGTCTTTGCATTTCAGTTCCCCATACAAATTCTCTCCACAGGATAAACATGCTTCCTATTGCTTACTTACAAGAATGAACTTAAAAATATGTGGGGGAAGAAAATTTTTTGGCAAACGTGTTCATTGCTACAGAGATTAGCACCCTGGCAAAGTACCAACTACAAGGCAACAAACCCACCAATGTTCCATTCGACAACCATCAAGAACTAAAATTTCGAATCAGAAACCAAGGACCTCACCTCTGTAGTTCCTCTTCTTTGATCCTCTCCTCTTCCCACACAAAGATTCCAGTTAAAGCAGCCATCAGTTTACAGGCATTCCCGTGGTGGCTGTGAAACTTGCGCCAAAGTCTACTGAAGAGGCTCCAGCGCGTCCTCTCCGAGTAGATGTTGCTGTAGAGCTGGCCGATCTGCTGGGCACGGCGGACCCTCAAGCTGGTAACATAGCTACACTGGTTAGCTAAAAGCGAGAGCAGGCTCTTATTCTGCCTAGGGCCTCTTTCAATCTCCTTCTGGAACCAACTCAGAATCTGCTGGACCCTGCCCTTCAGGGAGCTCACCTGATGCCCCCAGCCCTGACTCCCATCTGCAAGGCTGGCGAACCGTGCAGAGCTCACACAGTATGAATAAACACTGGAGGGCGACCTCCTCTGCAGTGAGTGGAACATTCCTGCTAAGTCGGTCCGACCAGTCTGTCCCCCTCGACTTCCTCCCACGGAAAGGATTAGTCAAAGCAAGGCACATACAAAACTGGGACTCACCAGGAGCCTCTTTCTCAAACCATCAAGTCCAGGGTTGCCCCTCAGTTTCAGCATTTGATTTACAAATGTAGTGATTGGGATTTTAGCTTCTGGGGGAGAAAAACCTATTCTTTCTCTACACAATTGGGCCCAAAGCAACCCACCCAAATCACAAACGAGGAGGAATAGGAAGATCCCGCGAACAAACAGGTAACGTGGCAGACTGTTTCAGGGGTTAAGGGTATCAAAACGCTTGGCCAGCTCTCTGCTACAGAGCTGATTAACTTCTCACCATCCCCTACGAGGGTGGAAGCGTCTTGGGAAATCAGGGAGTCAATTTAAAAGCAGCCGAGAAGATAACAGGATCGCTAAGAAACCCCGTGGGTGTGCGGGGCAGGAAGGGATGGAAGAAAGAAGGGAGGAAGGCGGGCCCCGAGGAAGGCAGTGAGCGGGAGGGCGCGCACAGGTGGGTGACTGGGAAGCTTCATGCGGCCCAGGCCTGAGGGACGAGCGTGACTTCCCGCCCCTGGAAGCCACCCCAGCCGACCGGCAGAGCGACCTCGAACTTGATGCCCGGACTAGTCAGACAGGTGGTGGAGGGGGTGTCCCAAGGAAGAGAGGGCTGCTGGGGTGGAGGCTGCCCCACGGGACGGGTTAGACTGGGCCCTGAGTAACCAGTCAGTTAGGGCCCGTAGACCTGGGCTCCCCTCGCTGGGCCCCCGCGGCCTCTGAGTCTCGGTCCCCGGCGCCACAGGCCCGACTCGGCCCCGCCCCTGCGCGCACAGGCCTCTGGCCTCCTCCGCAGCAGCCGCAGGAGCCAGGACCAACAGCTGCGGGCCGCCGTGCACGGCGGGCCAGAAGGGGCCTAAATGAAGGTCGGACACTGGCAGGTTCTCCTAGAGGGAGTGTGGCCAGGCCGCTGCGGAGATCCCGACCCCTCTTCAGCAGCCACCACACGCATTAGGCCCTGCAACCTACCACCCCCCCCCTCCCGCCGACTGCCGCTACTTCTCTTCTGATTGGTCTTAACCTTTGCCCTCCCGCCACTCATTGGAGTCAAGGAGTGCTTGTCACGGAGCCCGGAGCCAATTCGTCTAGCCTCGGCATCCGCTAGCAAGGTAGGTGGAGCCCGCGCACTGCCTGAACCAGTCAAGGGCGTCTTAGAGACGATCCAGGACCCTTCCCGCCCCGCCCTCCTCATGCAGCTGTCTATGGAGGTGCCTGCGAGAGGGACTGTTTTGTTTTCAGGTGCTCGTGGAAGTGAAGACTATTCCCGAGCCATGGCAGGTTACGAAAGAGACCCTCAACCGCTAGACAAATCTCTGTTTCACCTGTTCTCTACAATGGCACTAGTGCGACTACTCCAGAAGTGGGGTGTGGTGACGTCATCACTTGAAGGCGCAAGGGCAGAAGGGTCCTAAGAGCCCATCCCTAGGTGCAAATCCTGTGATCTCATCAACTCTTATGGATTTCACCCTTGTCTCTATGTAGATGATCCCCAAATTCACGTATCCAGCCACACCTCACTCCTGAGCTCCAGTCTCCCAATCTCCACCAAGATGCACCATAGTCATCTCTAACTTAATGTGCGAAATTTGAACTCATTATCTTTACCCTAAACTCATTCCTCCTCCATTCATTTAACGAGCCTATATTAAGTTTTGCATTCACTGTCCAGAAACCCTGGGGGTCTTCCCTCAGGGAAGGATTGTTTGGTTGTTTTGTTGTTGTTGTTGTTGTTTTTAACTAGATAAAAGCGGCCATTCTCTGCCTCGTTTCTCACCTAGCCTGAATCACTGAATGGGCATTGCCTCAGTCAAACCAAGATCAATTAAAGACTTGAACTTCAAAAGGCCATGCATGGTCTCCTATTTCATCCAGAGCCATCTGCAGTCCTCCAGATCTGTATCTGGCCACTGGACCCAAATGGCACAGTAGGAGAAAGTGAGGCTGGTGACGTTGCACAACCCTCCCTCACTTAAATCCAAGTCACTTGCATGTCATGGCATCACCTCCCTGATGTCATGATCATCTTCAAGAAGGAAGGACAAACAACAATTTATTAAGTGCCAACTATGTGCCAGACTGGCAGCTAGGTGGCGCAGTAGAATACCAGGTCTGGACTCAGGAAGACTAATAGGGTTCAAATCTGGCCTTAGACACTAGCTGTGTGACCCTGGGAAAGTCACTTAACCCTGCTTTCCTCAGTTTCCCCATCTGTCAAATGAGTTAGAAAAGGAAGAAAAGTATCTTTCCAAGGAACCTCCAAATGGGTCAGACATGAATGAAATGAGTAAACCACAAATGTGCCAGACACTTCTCTACTTCTGCTGAGGGCACCATCATTATTTTAGGTTCCTGGGAGAGACATCTTCCACTCTTATTCCTCAAATCCAAGTCAGTTGCCAAGTCTTGTAATTTCCACCTCTTCAACATGCCTCACATGTGTCTGCTTCTCTCCATTCACACCAAAATCACAGTCGGGTAGCTCGGCCCATCACCACCTCTCCAGTGAATTTTCTAAATCGAGCTCTAACACCCTCTTGTAATAATTGAGTTGTTTTAAGTGTAACCAGGGCTGGTCTGAGAATTCCCAATTGGGGCTAACATGAAGGCAGCCTATCGAAGGAGGTCACTCACACCCATAGGGTAGGTAAGGGATTCAGGCCCCTTGTTAGGCAAACTAGACATGCAGGAAAAGGCCCCTCAAGGGTGTCCCCAGGCTCCATAGTACCTGAATTGGGCATGCCCAGACCAGCCTGAGTTACACAAGCATGGTGGAAATAAGATGGCCCCTAAGAACCATTTGCTTTCCTCCCTTTTTAGCTTTAGGAAGTTTATTTTAGATTAAATAAGTACATTTTTTTTTTAGTTGTAACAATCACTACAAGCCTCCATTAGGAAAATTCCTGACATCTGATGTTTCTCTCCCTAAACTTATATTTGGAGACTGACTCCAAAATATCTAATGTTACAATTATATTTACAAGTTGCCCCTGACTTTTTTGTGGTTGAGGCAAAAATTCAGTTTACTGAAAACATTTGTATATCAGAACAGCAAATTATATCAAAATGTCTTTGAATAGATAGACGTCAAGAAGGAGAAGTCAGGGGAAAAACTGACCTTTTCTTGGGTTTTCTCTTTTCCTGGGAAATGCACTCTAAAATGCCCATAAAGTCAATCATTTGAGTAGCAGGGAAAAGGACTTTGAGCTTCCCCCAACAAAACTCCTCCAGACAAATCTAGAAAACACTAGATCAAATCCTGATTGAACAATTCAAGAAAAAATTACAGTAAGTCATTTTTCTGGCCCAAGTGAGCCTAAAGAGACAAAGGTCTGTGGACACTGGGGATGGGAAGCTTTTTGTGGAAGATTCCAGCACAGGGAAAGGCTGTGTGGTAGGAAAATATGAGGTCCAAAATCCAGCATGGAGAGGGATAAACTTTTATAGAGTTCAGGAACAGAGGCCAACAGGCAGCTATGTGGATCACTGCCTAGTCCCAGGTCACTAAAGATAGAAACCGCCCAGGAGTGGCTTTCCAGGGTGAGGTGCATTTTCGGCCACTAAGAGGATGGGATTTAGACCCCAAAAAGGAAAAACCCTGGACTTTTCCACAGGGCCAAATCTCTGGCTTTAGCCTGAGGCTATAATCACATCAACTGGCCTTTCATCGTGGCTACACCCAATCTCCCAATTCTCTGTTACCCTTAACCTAGCCTAGTCCTCCATCGTCTTACTTCCCTATGGCCCCTGGCCATTTCCCACCCTTAATCCTAGCTAGGCTCCATTCTCCCTTCCTTCTGTTCACTCCAGTTTACTGGCCACTCCCATCCAGATCCTCCTTAGACCCCTCCTCCAGTCATTTGGCCGCTTCTAGATCCCTCCCACAGTCTTTCTGTATCTAAGGCCCATCTTGTCTCCATTGAAGAGGCTCAGATTCTTATAATCTAGTCGCTGCTCAGATTTTTACAATTTAGCCAATAGCTCATAGGTGTTCAGATTCCTTAAGACTCTGGCCAATATGGAGGATCTTTAATAAACCTTGTCTTTGGCTGAAAGAAGGCTTGGGTCGAATTCTTTTGGGCAGGACCCACGTGTCGTGATCTTGAGGTCCCAGTACCCCTAAACCTCTAGACCTCATCAGCTATAGGCTGTGTACATAGGCAAGAGCAAGTTCAGAAGCAAGCAGCAGCTGTGTGGCTTGGAGCTCAGCTACGGAGTAGGGGCTCAGCTCTAGCCTAGTGTGAAACGACAGAGGAATAACCAGGGCAAGAATCTCAGACCAATGGGGAGGCTGCAGTTCTGTTACTCAGAACCAGTACAGCTTTCCAGCTGGCTGATAGGGGCTGAACCCAGCAGGAGTCTACTAAAACTCCAAAGGAGGTAAGTCCACAGGCTTTTTGCTCAGACCCATATCAGGAACTGGCAGAGCTGGGAGGGGAGAGTGAGGGGAGGCAGTGCAGAGCAGTGCTCAGATTTTGCCCTGGATCAGACCACTTTGGGAGTACTGAAAGTTTACGGGTGTCCAGCCTGAGTTGTCCCTGCAATCCTGCAAAAACATAGCACTCAATACAACCGAGAGAGCAATAGCAAAACCAGCCTAGAAATTTATTCTAGAAGTGCTCAGAGCATGGCTTTATCATAAAGTCCAAAATCAGGCGGTAGACTGGAAGAATAAGCAATATTTAAAAAAAAAAAAAGCTGTTAGGTTTATTAAAATGCTCAAAGCACAAACCCAGAAGAAAAGAATGACGCCAAAAATTTTACAAGCAAAGCCTCAGAGAAAACACAGCTTGGACACAAATTTTGTTATTATTATTTTTTTGCTCTATAAAATAATTTTTTGGTAGTTTGGTATGACACTAAATAAGTAAGTTAATTTAGGTAGAATTGTCTTTTTTATTATATTGGCATGGCCTACCCATGAGCAATTAATACTTCTTCAGTTCTGTTTTTATTTGTCTGAAAAGTGTTTTTGTAATAACATAGTTCCTGAGTTTGTCTTGGCAAGCAGATCTCAAGTTTTTTTTTTTTTTTTGGTCTGCAGTTACTTTAAATGGAATTTTGTTTTCTATCTCTTCCTGCTGGGTTTTGGTTTTGTTTTTTTGTTTTTTTTTTTTGTAATATATAGAAATGCTGATCATTTACGTGGGTTTATTTTATATCCTGCTACTTTGTGAAAGTTGTTAATTGTTTCAATTAGTTTTTTAGTTGATTCTTTGAGGTTCTCTATGTATACCATTATAACATCTGCAAAGAGTGAGTTTTGTTTCCATATTATTCTTATTCCTTAATTTTTTTCTTGTCTTATTGATATAGCTAATATTTCTAGTACAATATGGAATAATAGTAGTGATAATGGACATCCTTGCTTCACCTTGCTTATTGGGAAGGCTTCTAGTTTATCCCCATTACATATAATGTTGCTGGTCGTTTTAGATAAATGCTACTTACCATTTTAAGAAATGTGCTATTTATTCCTTTGCTTTCTAGTGTATTTAATAGAAATGGGTATTGTATTTTGTCAAAACTTTCTTTTGCTTTTTTCCCCCCTGCTATAATCATATGACATTTCAAGAAATCTTAAAAGAAAACTGTCCCAAGTTGTTAGAGCCAAAAGACAAAATGGAAATAGAAATGGCTATTTCCTGAAAGAACCTCAAAAAGAAAACTCCCAGAAACATTATAGCCAAAATCTAGACCTTGCAGGTCAAAGAAGAAAACATGGCAAGAAGCCAGAAAGAAAGAATTCA